TTATGCCTCCAACAAGAATTCCCTCGAATAAAAAGAAAATAACCCAAATAAACCAAAAGAATTGAATAATAAATAGTTCGATTAATTTCCCCTACACGAACCCCACAAGTGTTCCCCGCAGCCCCACGAAGACTATAGACGTGCGATGGAATCGGGACTTGTGTGAGAGGACATCAGCCGTGATTATGGAATGTCACCTAAATTGCCCGAGGGTCCCAATCAGTGTTTTATTAACTATCCAGTTCTAAAGCTCTAAGAGTTCACTATGGCGGCTGAAATCCAACACTTGTCCCTGAATGCCACATTCAAGGGCAACCGGCGTGATGATCAAAATGTGCCCGTTCATCAATTCCTCGGTATAAAATACGCCAGTATCCCAGCACGGTTCGAGAAGGCCGAGCCTGTGCGTGGATTCGACGGGGCTATTGTTGATGCCTCAAAATATGGGTAAGCTGTATTCACACCAGACAGACACAGACCACGCTTGGGATACAGCTAAATTCATATACTGACATTTGATATAGTCCGATATGTCCTCAACCGGATGTGGACGTCCGCCATCTGCTCCGTATTCCAGAGGACTTCGCCATTGCCCCTGAAGCAGAGGATGAATTCGAATGCCTAAATCTAGAGATTACATGTCCTCCCAAGTCTTCTACAACGGGCTCTCTTCCTGTTCTTATCTGGATACATGGCGGCTCTCAGATCGTCACATTCTGCTCTGCTGCTTCCAAGATTTGTGACCCGACCAAGATTGTCGCAGATTCTATCAAGGCAGGCAAACCTATCATCTTTGTCTCGATAAATTACCGTCTGAATATCTTCAGTTTTGGAGATGGCAAAGAAAAGAATTTGGCTCTGAAAGATCAGCGTCTCGGTATTGAGTGGGTGCGACGGAATATCGCTGGTTTCGGGGGTGATCCTGTAAGTCATATATTCACCGTTTCCTTCGAATACAGCACTGTGCTCATTACGTGTAGAAAAATATCACCTTGTCAGGGGAAAGCGCTGGTGCTATCTATACCCATGCCCACCTTATCACTGGCCCTGCTGTGAAAAGGGCCGTTCTGGCATCTGGAACTCTTTATCTGTCCTCACCGCTACCGGTTGAAAAGGGAGATGGCCTTATCAAAGGATTAGAAGCAAAGGTCCGAGATCTTGGTCAAAATTCACTGCGCGAGTCCTCTGTCACCGTGCTGGTCCAAGCACTGCGAGAGTGCAATGTGAATACAATGTGGATCCAAGAGGAGCCTGATCTATCAGATTGGGAAACCAAACCCGAGCAGGTTGAGGAGGTGATGATTGGTGACGTTGAGTACGAGGCAAGTAAAACCTAGGCTATGAATGGCCCTTTGAGACATTATTAACCTGTGCTTTAGTCTGTTATTTGGCGAAATGGCGTCGAGCTCCTCGACGGAGAGACGATCGCAGCTGCATTCGACAGCGATAAGCAATGGGGCACCCGGCTTCGAAAAACATATCAAATTGTTGGTGATCGCCCAACTGCTGCGAAGCTGGGAGCTCTAGATCTCGTGAATGATGTTCGGTATACTCTTCCTGTCGAGCTCATTGCCGACAAGTTACGCGCGGCCAACAAACGTGTTTTCCGATATGTGATTGACCAGTCTAATCCCTGGCAACCTTCAAGTCGTGCACATCATGCCGTTGATCTGTTGTTTCTCTTCGACGGCGTTGATCTATCCTTCAATCCTGCGGCTAGCACTGTTGGAAAGGAGATGCGGCAGCGTTGGATTCAGTTTGTCAATGGTGATGGACCTTGGTCTACTGGTTTAAGATTTGCTTTTGGGCCTCTGGGAGAGTGCAGGGAGATTTATGAATCGCAGTTCGCTGCTCGTCGAAGAGTTGAGCATTGTAAGATGCTGAAGGAAGCCGGAAATGACACGTATATGTCTATTGTGTTTGCTTTGACTGCGGGGAGAATTAGTTTGTTAAACTAGTCTAAGATAGAAGACTCAACATGTATTCAATCCAGTTAAATCCTGTCGCAAGATCATACTTTTATTATTTTGTATAATTGGCCAGTTGTCTCAACACCCTAAAACCAACACTGAGCAAAGATTACTCTTCACATCCTTACCTCTCGGCAGTTGAATAATCCTCCGGATCCCGTCAAACTTCCACCAAATCAACCCTCAATTCCTAGTCTTCTCCACTGGCTGAACCTCCACTCTTAATCAGCCCTTACTCATGTGGGGTCGTCCGTTGCCTCCTCACATGGAAATCATATTTCTCCGCAATTCATCGCCCGAAGTTGGTCCAGCAGGGAGCCCGGCAAGTCGATTGACCATAGCTTTGCCGATTTATGGGAAGGATTCACTGCCAATGCATCTAATGCACCAATATTGCGTGTTCAGCTGATGCTTCGTGGTCATGCCGGGTATCCCGAGGAACATTCATGCCTGTATATTCCTCCCCGGGTAGACGAATCCAATGGATAATTTGGCTGGGGTCTTCGATTGTGTTATTGCTATCGTTACCCTTTTTTTTTTTGACTCGTTGACCCCACAAGTCTGATCGATCATCTACACTGAACTACATATATAGAGGTGTTGCAACCCCGTGTTACCTAGAAGATAATCAAACAATCACTACTTTTCTAGTCTGTTTATATTTTGTTTTCTAGCCATTTCCATCACTATGCCTTCTACTGGTTCCTTGTCGGACCCCGAGGAGTATCAGAAGATATTCCACTGGGCTGAGACCCAAAAGGATGGAACTATCCCTTCCTTCAACACAAGGCGTAATGACCCTTATGAGGTATGTTGCTCCATCATGATATCTACTAAGTCACTCACTGACTATTCTACAGTATCTATCTGGCTTTGGCAATGCGTACGTATCCTTGCATAACCTACACCTCGAAGGTTGATTATTGTGATGACTTGAAATCCTGATTTAAGAACCCTTGAACAGTTTCACGTCCGAATCAATTCCGGGAACTATTCCTCACGGCCAAAACAGTCCTCGCAATGTGAGGTTTGGCCTTTACGCGGAACAGATGACAGCCACTGCTTTTGTTGCCCCACGACACTGCAATAAAAAGGCGTGGCTATACCGTGTCCGCCCCGCTGTCGCTCACCAAGGATTCGTAAGTCTCTCTTGCCCTTCGTTCTGCATGTCAGTACTGACGTCAATTGCAGACAGAGCTCCCAGATAACAAAGACACCGAGGCAAACTTCCTACCATTAAACCCGCGCATCCACGTATCCCCTACCCAGCTGGCATGGCACCCCTTTGATATCCCCGAAAGCGAAGAAGTCGACCTCGTTTCAGGATTGAAGACAATTGCTGGCTCTGGTGATCCCACACTACGCGAAGGTTTGGCCACACATGTCTATGTTGCAAATACAGACATGAAGAAGAAGGCATTTGTTAACTCCGACGGTGAATTTCTCATTGTTCCTCAGCAAGGAGCGCTCGATATTCAAACTGAATTCGGTCCCATCTTTGTGCAGCCAGGTGAGATTGTTATTATCCAGCGCGGTATCCGCTTTAGCGTCAATCTTCCAGATGGCCCCTCGCGTGGGTATATCCTCGAGGTCTGGGGTACGCAATTTGAGCTCCCTGAGTTGGGACCCCTTGGTGCGAATGGTCTTGCAAATGAGAGGGACTTTTTGAGTCCTGTTGCTCAGTATGAGGTGATTCAAGAACCGTGGGAAATCATTTACAAGCTCGGGGGCAAGTTCTTTAAGAGTACTCAGAGCCATAGCCCATACGATGTTGTAGCTTGGCATGGAAACTATGTGAGTTCTATTCATTCTGATGATTGAACCCTCAACCAACTAATGTTGTTTAGGTCCCCTATAAATATGACTTAACCAAGTTCGTTAACGTCGGATCCATCTCTGTGGACCATATTGACCCGTCTATCTTCTGTGTTCTCACGGCCAAATCCCGCGATCTCAACGCACCTCTGGCTGATTTCCTCACTTTCTCCCCTCGATGGGATGTTGCCTCACGTATGTCTGGTTAATCTATTGATTCATAAACGTTGCTAATAATGATAAAAAAAAGACACATATCGACCTCCCTATTACCACCGCAATGCCGCATCCGAACTAATGGGTCTAATCTACGGCGGCTATGGTGGTCGGTCAGACGAATTCAAGCCAGGGAGTGTGTCATTTGAATGCGGCAGTATGATGATCCTAGAATTTTCCTATCAAATATTAATCAATGCTGATACTTTCTCTAGTGGTTCCCCATGGCGTTGCCTACGAAGAGTTCAAGGAAGCTACTGATAATGCGCCCCCAGCGATGCAGATATCCAAGGCGTCGATTGCATTCATGTTCGAGTCGTGCCGTCCCTTTACAATTACTGATTATGCATGGAACAGTAAAAAGAAGCATGAGCATGAGCCTAAGATGTGGGATAACTTAGTGGACAATTTCTCAAAGCACGCCAAGGAGATTGATGAGATTTTGGCTAAAAAGGCGAAGAATCACTCTTTTTCCTAGGCGCCTTTTACATGAGCAGATATCAACTTCATTGTGACATTTGAATAGGTTACTGGAAATTGAACTGGATAAAACCAATCAACTAACTAGACTGAATTACACAGGCAATTGTGTTATTGTGGAGATCCAGTAGTCTAGGGGTGCATAAAAAATCATTCCGACGGTTATTGTTCTATTGTCTGGATTAGAGACCTTTCCCAGTTAGACTTCTTTCTTGAGTAACTACAAATACCTGTAGTTCGGAGTTGAATGAGAGCACAGCGTATGCGAGGGGAAGATTGGGTATGCAGTGGAAGGTTGTACCACAGCTAGGAACTACAACCACCATCTATCGACCAAAGATCATGTAATACAATATTTTGCAAAAGAAATAGAAGAATTGCCTCGAGGTTAACATCTACACAACTGCGTTCGACCAGCCCCGCTAAGAAATATTTGATTGGCCCCTCTAATCAGCCCCCACTATAATTCTGCATCTCAAGTCTGACCTTCAGGGCTCATTTCCCTCAAAACTATGGATTATGGTCGGCGTTGGAGGCCGAAGCAAAGGGTGTCGCACCTGCCGACGTCGCAGAGTTAAATGCGGTATGGATTGACTTGCAACTAATTTGTCCACATTTCTGACTAACCCCACTTTAGACGAAGAAAAGCCGCTCTGTCATCGGTGTCAAAAAGGTGGCTTTGAATGTGAGGGTTATGTGGAGTTTGCCCAGTTTATTGACGAGACAAGTCGCCTGAGAAAAAGGGCTGCGCGGAGGTTAGCCTTGCCATCAAGCTGCTCAGACTCTTCTGAGACAGGATTAGAGGCACCAGGACCAAATATCAATTTCCTATTGAGCGTTAACCCACCATGGAGCGAGAATGACATTGTGATTACTTACCTTTTCAACCGTGTCTTTAACTGGAATGACGATCCAGCATCTCCACATGAGACGCCAGCATGGACCTCGATACTCCTACGCCAAGACAACGAAACCGAGCTCTCAACGGCCTCGGTCCGTGCTTTAGCCATGGTGTATTTTGCCAAGGTCAACAAGCAACACCAGGTGATGCGGAAAGGTGTATCCTTCTATGCCCATGCTCTTCGAACATTGCAGACCAAACTACATTGCCAAGATCAGGCAATGGGCGACGATGTCCTCGTGGCTATCATTTGCCTGGCTATCTATGAGTTGATCACCCTTACCCATCCCAGAGCTTGGCTTTCTCATTATCAAGGATTGGCTAGACTGGTGAGTCTTGGAAACTTGTCATCTAGTCATGATTTAGGATGCTGATGTCCGATTAGATGTTGTTAAGGGGGCCCTATCGACATCAATCTGGCATTACATTCGCTATTATGCCGACTCTCAGATCATGTATTGTGAGCACAGGGACCCCTCTTTAATCTCAATCCTTCAAAGTACTAAGTAAACCATAGGCTATTGGATATATTATAGAACGGAAACGATGCTTCCTTGAAGATCCTGCCTGGAAAACCATACCGTGGGCTGAGCGAGGTCTTGGTTCAAAAACACCCACAGACTTGCTGCAAGACATTATGTGCGACATCCCTGGCATACTGCAAGACCAAAGCGAGGCAGTCTTGTGGCATCCTGATGACCCCCGCAAAGAAGAGTTCACATCTGTGTTTATCCCAAGAGTACTCTCAACCCTTGAAGTCCTGTACTCCTGGCGCTGGAATTGGGAATCGCAATTCCCGAACTCGACATTTATCACCACACCCATCGAATACATTTCTTCTGGCCCAATATCTCTACCTCCGAGTCCATTCAAATCTGTCATCTGGTTCCAAGATCCTCACCGCGCGGTCGAGCTCACCGTTTATAATGCAATACTTCTCATTCTCATACGAGCTCTCCAGATCGCAGGCGCTGATCTGGATAGCGTTCACCTTGAGGGCCTCAGTGGCCCACTCCTCCCCATGCAGGGGGACAGAAATGATATAGCAATTGAGATATGTCGGATGGTCGATTATCATTTACACTGTTTGAGGAGTACTGGTGCATTCATGCTTTTATTCCCTTTGAACGTTGCCTATCTACATCTAGATCAGAAATCTACCGAGGCCCGGTGTTGGTTGGAAAGGGTCATCGCAGATCTCGCCGACTCACATGGATTTGAGGTTGGGAGGTCGGAGAATATGCTGAGGAAACCCACTGATGTGCGTGGTGGGATTTGAGAACGGACCCCTACGATGAACTTTTATTTTATATTGAATTCATGTGTCAACTGATCTATCCGCGATGTAGGGCATCTAATTATTGTATGAAGTACCATGCATTCATCTATCATCTGAATCCAAGTCGTGCTCCTCGTCACCTGTGCTTGTGTCCGCTGGCAGGATCACTATCCAGTGAAGCTTATTGACCTTTTTCGCTTCCTTTTGGTCTCTCTTGGCTTGTATTTTCTCTCTTTTGTCGCTTTTTTGGGACAAGGTGTCTTCCCTGTCTTCCTCCAGCTCGGCCAACTTCCTCTCCAACGACCTCAGCTTTCGCAGCAATTCCCGCCCAGTTTTACTTTCATCTGGCTGTCTTGGATTCAGGCACTGCATTCTTTCCTTGATATCCTCTATGTCGTCTTTTAAGTCGGCGACTGCGTTTTCCACCTTGCGCTCATTCCGTCGGCTTTTCTTGTCTTTCTTCTCTTTCTCGCCTGCTTTCTTATACCGCCTCTCCTCTTTTTCCAATTTTTCAAGTTGCTTTTTCTCTGCCTTTTGCGCAGAGTAAGCTCCCCATTTCTTCATCCAGTTGTCCTCATCGATAGGAGCTGCCAATTCATCGAAGCTTAGAGACATCACGCGATCACCCAGAGCCGCCATTCTGGTTACGAGGGGGCTCTGACTTTGACTCTCATCCCGACCAACAAGTGCCCGATATTGCTCTGCTGAAAAGACCCTTGAGTCTCGCACTCCAACTAGCGAAAGCATCTTATCAGTTTTGACAACTCTGACCAAGAGTCCCTTTGGATTGAAAATGACCTCATTGGCCTTCTTCAAATACTGCTTGGTCCGTACAGCCGAGACACCCGCACTGCCTAAGCTTGTGGCAACCTGCAGTCCACTCCCGACTATCTGGGCTGTTGCTAGCGGGACAAAGCCAACAAGCATAGCGATTTTGTTGGTCGCTTGCAGAGCGGGGTTGGCTAAAAACGCTTCGTTGAGGCCATCGATGAAACAGAGGAGGTCTTCTTGGGTCAGTCCGGTTTGGGCTTCAAGTTCTCTAGCCCGGGCTCTGGCGAAGGGACTCATATTGGCGCCGCCGAAAACTTTGGTAATCTCTGCTTGGGGTCAATATGGCTATTGGCGTTTGATGAGAGTGTACTTACGAGGTATCACGCATAGTTTTGCGCCCCGTGCAACGGGTTGCTGTTGAACAAAGTGGTTTTTATTCTGATCCGGGTACAAGGGTGGTGCTGATTGTTCTGTATTTGGATATTGAACCCATGGTTGCTGATATGTATCATCGGAACCTCGGTATGCTGAGGGGGGCCAATATTCAGGTTGTTGGTGTGGGTGATGAATAGGTCGGGATGAGGTGGCGTAATTTGGCTCGCGGTATGTCCATCCGTGTGTATTGTTTGAAACAACGTCGTCGTAGTGTAAACTAGGCGACGAAACTACATACGGCGGAGGAGATGAATGGGATTGACGTTGCGCCATGACAAAGGATTGTGTTTTTGGAGCTCGAAGTTATGGTAAAAGAAGGTGTTCATGCTTTCTTATATATGTTAGTACTAAAATGAAAAGAAATGCTTGACACTTAAGCCAATTCCCTCTTTTGGTGCATCTCGCGAGGAAGATCTATAACTTCCAATCTCCACTTCTCCGGGACCCACATCTCGCGGATTGCGCTCGATTTGGTTTAGCTTCTTCAGCCTCAAAAGGTCAGTCTCTGATTCTCCGACCTTCGACTTCATCTTCAGGCCTGGAACAACCCTCGTGTTACGATTGCTTGGTGTCCAGTTTCGTTTTCATATTTTCTGTTTCTGTTCGTGTCCCATATGAATATCATGGTCTCTGATGGAATATTTTAAGTGCGATCTGGTCATATATTATAAACTGTACAGATTACACGGCGATCACCTCCATTATAAACTAAGCTTATTCTTGTACAACAGAAGGTTAGTTAGCTAGCATTGCTTTTTCTTCTAAGTTCAGTAAACTCTTATCTCCTGCCTTGTCTCCCTAGCTCGGGATATACGACTTGTGTTAAGCATTTGTAGGCACATATCCACTCAGATGAAATTTTAGCATCTTAATGTTTGATATTTTGCCGCTGAATCCTGGTGAATGTTCCTATACATCCACAGTGATGACTCCATAGACGCCTGGCGAAGTCTATTCAAGGTTATTAGGAACTGCCCGGTATGAAGCATTCCAAGGTCCACATGTGCATGCATGTATTGACTTCAACATGGAAATTGCTAAAAAAAAAAAGGTCTCCCAAAAATACTCGGCTGTATAATCCGCATCATCTCAGGGCCTAATATGAGGTAATGTCTTCGAGGGCTTTAAACCTATAACCTTCAATGTCATATCCATCAGGTCGGTGGTCGGCGTTTCGGTGTCCGACCGACCCGGGAGCGAGGGCCCCTAACACCGACATCTCCAACGGAAATCGTTAAATATGGCTGAAACCAGGAAAATTGTAGATTTGTCGTGGCCAAGTGGAGGCCGATCCGCGAGGTATAATTTTTTTTTCAAAGAAAAATGTAGAAGCTAGGGGGGTGAACTAAAGTATAAGACTTGGGCGGATCTGTACTTCGCATATTGTGTGAACTACATACTCCAAGCCCAGGCTCAGTCCAAAAATAAGACAAATAATATTTCACAGAATCACATTCTTTACATTCTGAATCCAAGCAAGGAAATATATCTTGACACATCAAAGTTCGTTCTCCAACCTTCAGCCCTACAGCCAACTCTAACCCCCCCTCCCTAGAAGATGGCAGGACCCTATATGTCCAAAATAGCCTCAGTGGGAGGTCGACCAACAATCCCCCTCGATGTCCCAATATGTGCTGTCTTCCTCGCCCTTTTCATCACCGGTGGCGCCTGCCATATGACTCTGCTTCGCCGCAACTCCGCAAAAGGCCACAAATTCATTCCATCGGGCGCAACATTTGGATTCTGCATGTCGCGTATTGTCGCAAATATCATGCGCATCGCCTGGGCCTGTCACCCGACCAACGCTAGAATCGCCATTGCAGCACAGATCTTCGTTGCAGCGGGTGTGTTACTGCTTTTCGTCTTGAACTTGCTATACGTGCAGCGTATGTTCCGAGCTGTCTACCCAGTCGTCGGATGGTCCCGATCACTATCCTTGGCGTTCAAAGCATTGTATGCTCTGGTTGTCGTGACTATTATTATGGTCATCACTTGTGTTATTCAGAGTTCGTATACTCTCAACCCGAATACCCTTCGCATCGATCGCGATATCCAGCTTTACGGCCAGACCTACTTCGCCATCGTCTCGTTCCTACCGCTTCCTCTTCTCCTATCTATCCTCCTATCTCCGAACAGAAAGCAAATCCAACAGGTTGGTTCTGGTAGCTGGGTCGCCAAAGTCTTCATCGTCGGGCTTGCCGGCTCTTTGCTTTGCCTGGGCGCATCATTCCGTGCCGGTACCTCTTGGATGCCGCCTCGTCCTATCACCGACCCAGCTTGGTATCACAGCAAGGCCTGCTTCTATATCTTTAATTTCGCTATTGATATTTCGGTCGTGGCTATCTTCTTCGTCGGTCGTGTTGACCAACGATTCTGGGTTCCGAATGGAAGCTCAAAAGTACGCCACTACAGACGAGATGAGAATGGAGGTCATCTTCCTCTTCAAGCTCATGGCGAACGGGATATCGAGAGTAGCGGGAGTATTTTGTCCCAGAAGCTGGGTGAAGAAACAAAATAACCGGAGAGAAGATCATTGCATTTCAAGCTGTACATTATTCAAGCGCATAGGCTGTGTTTATGCGTTATAACAGTCGCGGATAGAGCGATATTCTATGTATATTAATATTAACAATAATCGTGCTGCTACTAGTACGAGTTTAGAGTGACTTGTCTTACTCTTCCACCTTTCTATCCATTAGATTTCTTCAACTTGTGTAAGAAATTTAGCATCTCTCTACGCTCCCGTATCCGTTCACTGGTTAAATTCTGTCAACTCTATTTGGGAGATGCTCTATAGAACCATTCACAAGATGCAAAGGGCGTATTTATTGACACTCGGGTAGATTAGTTCACTCGCATCAGATCATACGTCTTAACAAGCGCAGCCCACAGGCAACCTTGGCAGACCCTATTCAGTAATGATATGCTGGACAGAAACTCTCAGACAGCCAGCCGTAGCCGTTGCTTGGTGCGACTTTTTCTCAGATCTGAAACTCTAGTTGTCTATCGGGTGATGTGTATTTTAAGGTTCAAACCGTATCACTCCTACGAATACTTGTTCGTGCACGGTGTTCCTCACATAGAGATCGAGTATAAGGCAGTGGTAGCACAACACAACCGTTTCTCTGGCATCAAGTGATGCGATGGGCGGATTTCGACAAATAGTTCGCGGAATATAAGTCCCAAGTTTCTTCGGAAGGGCAGTTCTTAGTTTCCACGCTGATGATCCGAATGTCAAGTTCTCAGTTCATTCTCAAAGGATATGCCATTTCCCAATTAGGAATATCCCGATCCCAATGAGCCTGCGAGATTCCAGGATATTGTTACTGGGTATATTTGTCACGGTTATGGTTCTGATATTTCGCAAATTAATAGATGATTCGTCGCGCATACCCTTTCATTTCTATATGTATAAGTCCCACATGTGAGGGGGATAACTATAGCGGCCTTGAAAATCACTAGTCCACACTTCGCTTAACCCCACCAAGACTTAAAAGCCTCAAAGTCAGGGGCAATAACACACATCCCCCTTCTATACGACCCTGTAAGACACCACTAACTTAAGTGAGCCCTAGCCTAAAGATCTAAGTGGACTCGGTTGCTTGCCCAGCCGGCCAAACCGGCAATTCGCCCCGCTAGCAACTGGAAGCCAAGCACGTTAAGCTTCATTCGATCATTTCGAAGAGCACTACGAAGTGCTAGTTAGTGATGGTAATTTAAATATCCAACTTTAGTCTGTGGCTAAAGTACCACAGGACCCTGCACTAACATGCGAGTTGACCGCACGAATCTTCTTTCTTGGGAGATCAAATATTTCCCTACCAGGAGCTCAACAAACGTCGGGATTGTATAACTTTCGCCATCATGACTACTGCAGCCGTCGCCGGCGGATACTGGACCTTTGAAAATTATGGCCCCATAACAACAACATTCACCCCGGCGCCCAGCTGTACTGCGACGGACAGACTCTCCCTAGCCCTAATCGATGACTATATGACCCAAGTCCAATTCCAAGTCGCCTGTCCTACACCAACGAGCGACTGGGACTGTATGCCGCCAGGCACGACGACATCGGCAACTTGGTACGATGAGAAAAAATGGGTCGCTTCTGCTGGATACTACTCGCCGGGATTGTACTGTCCATCCGGCTGGGAGACGATTGGCATGGCTGCGCGCGATGGTGAGTCGCTGAGTACTTCAGGATTCTTGACCACCTCAGAGCGTAAGATCCCGTCTTATGAGGAGCCTGTGACACTATTGGCGAGTTTGTTGGAGCCGAGTCAGACGATAGCGCTTTGCTGTCCCAGGTAAGTCGACATCGCTTTTGATTACAACGAACCTAGGGCTTGAGCTAATTCAATCTCTAGCTCCATGACGCCAAATGGTCTTGGCCAATGTATCGCTCAAGTCCCAACCTACAAGCCCAGCGTCGGTTGTGAGGTCTACGTGGATAGTGATTACAGTTGGGAGAAGGTAACCTGGACACATGTGTACTCCGACATCACGAAGACAGATACCTACGATGTGAACTCATTTGTGAGCGCTACTACGTCGACTTCGTCCACCTCCTTTCCTCCTGGAGCCGAGAGTGTACTGACGGCTATCTCGTTTGTGCCTATGATTACTATGGTGCATCATCTGTCCGATTTGGAGGCAGTCGGGGTTGCGGTTACGTCTACCAGTGCCAAATCTACTGGGACTGGGGCTGGAACTGGCACTGCTAGCTCCGAGGCTATGGGGACTGCTGCTTCTACGTCGAACGCTGCGTATAGAGTCGGTGGTAGAGCGTCTTCCTTGGATGGATTTGGTGCGGTTATCGGGGGGTTGACAGTTGCGGTGGCACTAGGCGTGACTATGATTAT